ACTAACGGCCCATTTAATTCTTTGCTTCAGTCTTCACGGCTGAGGATGTTAGGGAGATTCCCAAACCTGAGCCGGCTTTTGTAGGTGACAAATCTGAGGAACTGTCACAGATTGAAGTGTCACTAGAGGAGGTTTTGGAATTAACTGATAAACTTAACATTAACAAGTCACCGGGACCAGATGGCATTCACCCAAGAGTTCTGAAAGAACTCAAATGTGAAGTTGCAGAACTATTAACTCAGGTTTGTAACCTGTCCTTTAAATCGGCCTCTGTACCCAAAGACTGGAAGTTAGCTAATGTAACGCCAATATTTAAAAAGGGCTCTAGAGGTGATCCTGGCAATTACAGACTGGTAAGTCTAACGTCTGTACCGGGCAAATTAGTCGAAACAATAGTTAAGAATAAAATTGTCAGACACATAGAAAAACATAAACTGTTGAGCAATAGTCAACATGGTTTCTGTAAAGGGAAATTGTGTCTTACTAATCTATTAGAGTTCTTTGAAGGAGTCAACAAACACGTGGGCAAGGGGGATCCAGTGGACATAGTGTACTTAGATTTCCAGAAAGCCTTTGACAAGGTCCCTCACCAAAGGCTCTTACGTAAATTAAGTTGTCAAGGGATAAAAAGGAAGGTCCTTTCATGGATTGAGAACTGGTTAAAAGACCGGGAACAAAGGTTAGGAATTAATGGTAAATTCTCAGAATGGAGAGGGGTAACTAGTGGTGTTCCCCAAGGGTCAGTCCTCAGACCAATCCTATTCAACTTATTTATAAATGATCCGGAGAAAGGGATAAACAGTGAGGTGTCAAAGTTTGCAGATGATACTAAACTGCTCAAGATAGTTAAGACCAAAGCAGACTGTGATGAACTTCAAAAAGATCTCACAAAACTAAGTGATTGGACAACAAAATGGCAAATGAATTTTAATGTGGATAAATGTAAAGTAATGCACGTTGGAAAAAATAACCCCAACTATACATACAATATGATGGGGGCTAATTTAGCTACAACAAGTCAGGAAAAAGATCTTGGAGTCATCGTGGATAGTTCTCTGAAGATGTCCACGCAGTGTGCAGAGGCGGTCAAAAAAGCAAACAGGATGTTAGGGATCATTAAAAAGGGGATAGAGAATAAGACTGAGAATATATTATTGCCCTTATATAAATCGATGGTACGCCCATATCTCGAATACTGCGTACAGATGTGGTCTCCTCATCTAAAAAAAGATATACTGGCACTAGAAAAGGTTCAGAAAAGGGCAACTAAAATGATTAGGGGTTTGGAACGGGTCCCATATGAGGAGAGATTAAAGAGGGTAGGACTCTTCAGCTTGGAAAGAGGAGACTAAGGGGGGATATGATAGAGGTATATAAAATCATGAGTGATGTGGAGAAAGTGGATAAGGAAAAGTTATTTACTTATTCCCATAATACAAGAACTAGGGGTCACCAAATGAAATTAATAGGCAGCAGGTTTAAAACAAATACAAGAAAGTTCTTCACGCAGCGCACAGTCAACTTGTGGAACTCTTTAGCTGAGGAGGTTGTGAAGGCTAGGACTATAACAGCGTTTAAAAGAGAACTGGATAAATTCATGGTGGTTAAGTCCATTAATAGCTATTAGCCAGAATGGGTAAGGAATGGTGTCCCTAGCCTCTGTTTGTCAGAGGATGGAGATGGATGGCAGGAGAGAGATCACTTGATCATTGCCTGTTAGGTCCACTCCCTCTGGGGCACCTGGCATTGGCCATGGTCGGTAGACAGGATACTGGGCTAGATGGACCTTTGGTCTGACCTGGTACGGCCGTTCTTATGTTCTTAAGTTCATTACCCCCCCTCCACATCACCAGCCGCACACTCCCAGAGTCCACAGCTCCCCCATTTACTAATGGTCCATTACCTCCCCCCATATGACCAGCTACCCCCACCCCAGAGCCCATCGCCAGGTCCCATTACCCCTCCCCTCTGTGACCAGCCATTCCCTCCACAGGACTCCAGCGCCCCGACTAACCCCACCTGACTTTTGCCTCCTCCACGAGGGGCTCACTGCCCCTTGCCCATGTGAGCGCCTCTGCCCCTCCCGATGCCCACATAGCAATCCCCCACAGGGCACACCATCCTCTGCGTGTCCCCTCACGCCCCACACACCAATCTCCTGCTGCACGCTGCTGCAATCCACCAAGAGGAGCCGGTTGCAGGTGATGACCATGGAAGGCACCTCTCTGACACGTTCTGCCCAGGCACGCAGCTGTACGACTCGCTGCACATATTTGCCCGCGGGCCAGCCCTTCATCAGCTCCAGCTGCTTGGGGCTCCAGCTGTGAGCAAAGCTGTGGATCTCTGCCACCCACGTGTGCTGCTTGCAGATCTCCTGGGTCTCACTCAGTGCCTCCTGCAGGAATAGCACAGGGCTCTCAGCAAACCACAGCACCAGGCCCCAGGAGATACAGAGCAAACCCCACCATTCGCCATGCCTCCCTCAAAGCCCACTCCGAAGCGTCAGCTGGTGCCCAACCCAGCAGCCTGGTCCCTGGGAGCCCCTCCCCCTCCCCCCCAGGATCCCACTTCCTGTCTGAGCCCAGGTAAGGCAATGGCTTTGGAGAAGCCTGAGCCCTGAGAAGAGCCAGGCTGGGGCCCTGGTCTGGGGGCTCCAGGAGGAAGTGGCCAGAGGGGAGTGAGCACTGGAGAAGGGCTCCTACAGGGGAAGGCCCCGGTGGGCAGGGGATCAATGTTATACCAATAAAAACTAGCAGGATCTTATTAAAGGGGACAAGATAAAGATGCCACATTTATTATGATAACAATTTGATTTATGACCAATAACTAATATCTTAATCCTTATACACACACATTATACCTAATACCTATACACACACACACACACACACACACACACACACACACATCCATCAGATGTTCTGCAGCTGCTGCATAGTTACCAGTCCTCATAGAATCATAGAATCATAGAATATCAGGGTTGGAAGGGACCTCAAGAGGTCATCTAGTCCAACCCCCTGCTCAAAGCAGGACCAATTCCCAACTAAATCATCCCAGCCAGGGCTTTGTCAAGCCGGGCCTTAAAAACCTCCAAGGAAGGAGACTCCTGCTTGAGTCTGTGGCTTGAGTTTGCAGCTTGGGTTCGTAGCTTGTGGCAGCTAACTGGCCAGGAAAGCCGGGCACAAGGACGAGCTGGGTCTCTGTTGGGCATGCACCGATGCCCTTCCATGTTGGCAGCAGAACGTTACCCTCCTCCAAAGTTTTCCATCTCACCCATCCTTTTTGTAGGCTTTAGTTTGAATCCAGAGTCTATAGGTCTTGCTGTGTCTCGCTGCCTTCAGGTTTGGTGATTGATCACCCGTCAATTGCAGACATGACTTTCAGCCTTGGACTGGGCTTTGATCTTCCTTCTATTGTACCTTTTCTTTTTAGGGTGGATTCTTCTTACTTTGTTAGGGCTCTTGTCTGCATCTTTAGCCGTTGGTGTTTGAACTTTATTTAATCAGGACAGGCTGGGGCTGGAGGTTGATTCCATCATCCATACATACCTCATTCACACATCTAAACTAAACTAATAAGATTACAGCAGGGTTTGCAAAAATGAAGGTTGCAGCAAGCCCTTACAAAATGGAGTAAGCGTTTTAAAATGGGGTTTGAATTACAATATGGCAAACAGTGAACAGAAGTTACAATATAGACAAGTATAATGGATGGCAAACAGTGAACAGAAGTTACACTGTAGGCAAGTGTAATAAATGGTGAACAGAAGTTACAATACTGAAACAGTGCAAGTCTCAGTGATTTAAGCAGGAATTGGATTGATAGTGAAACTTACAAAGGCAACTGACTGAACAGCTATGGTTCTTAACAAGCATCTTAATTGTTAATTAGCCAGTTATTGGGGTAACCGGTTTTATGAATGAATATTGTTTCATTCATAAAACTTTACTTATGAAGTTACATTAATAAAGTGAACAATTAAAAACAATTTCATGTGGATGAGGGGAAAGCAGTGGATGTGTTATTCCTTTACTTTAGCAAAGCTTTTGATACGGTCTCCCACAGTATTCTTGCCGCCAAGTTAAAGAAGTATGGGCTGGATGAATGGACTGTAAGCTGGATAGATCGTCGGGCTCAACGGCTAGTGATCAATGGCTCCATGTCTAGTTGGCAGCCGGTTTCAAGCGGAGTGCCCCAAGGGTCGGTCCTGGGGCCGGTTTTGTTTAATATCTTTATTAATGATCTGGAGGATGGTGTGGACTGCACTCTCAGCAAGTTTGCAGATGACACTAAACTGGGAGGCGTGGTAGATACACTAGAGGGTAGGGATCGGATACAGAGGGACCTAGATAAATTAGAGGATTGGGCCAAAAAAAACCTGATGAGGTTCAACAAGGACAAGTGCAGAGTTCTGCACTTAGGACGGAAGAATCCCATGCACTGCTACAGACTAGGGACCAAATGGCTAGGTAGCAGTTCTGCAGAAAAGGACCTAGGGGTCACAGTGGACGAGAAGCTGGATATGAGTCAACAGTGTGCTCTTGTTGCCAAGAAGGCTAACGGCATTTTGGGCTGTATAAGTAGGGGCATTGCCAGCAGATTGAGGAACGTGATCATTCCCCTTTATTCGACATTGGTGAGGCCTCATCTGGAGTACTGTGTCCAGTTTTGGGCCCCACACTACAAGAAGGATGTGGAAAAATTGGAAAGAGTCCAGCGGAGGGCAACAAAAATGATTAGGGGTCTGGAGCACATGACTTATGAGGAGAGGCTGAGGGAACTGGGATTGTTTAGTCTCCAGAAGAGAAGAATGAGGGGGGATTTGATAGCTGCTTTCAACTACCTGAGGGGGGGTTCCAGAGAGGATGGAGCTCAGCTGTTCTCAGTGGTGGCAGATGACAGAACAAGGAGCAATGGTCTCAAGTTGCAGTGGGGGAGGTCTAGGTTGGATATTAGGAAACACTATTTCACTAGGAGGGTGGTGAAGCACTGGAATGCGTTACCTAGGGAGGTGGTGGAGTCTCCTCCTTGGAGGTTTTTAAGGCCCGGCTTGACAAAGCCCTGGCTGGGATGATTTAGTTGGGAATTGGTCCTGCTTTGAGCAGGGGGTTGGACTAGATGACCTCCTGAGGTCCCTTCCAACCCTGATATTCTATGATTCTATGATTCATTCATCAGTTCTACATCAATAGGGGGGAGAGGCAGAGGGGAGTTCAGGATGCATGATCATTGTACTGGGTACTGCAGCGATGCCCAGAGGCCCCGGTCAGGATCAGACCCCATTACATTGGGTGCGTCACCGACTCCAAGGGAGAGACGGACCCCCCCCAGAGCTCAGTGTCACACAGCGTGAGCCAGGGGATGCTTAGCCAGATGCGTCTGGAAGCGCCAAAGCTGCGGGAGTCCATCAGCTCTTAGCAGTGGAGAAGCAGGGAGGGATGTTGGCGACACAAGGCCAGCTCTTAGAGACATTGCGAAGGGAAAAGAGGCCAGGCAGCCCTGGACTGACTAGTTCAGTGCAGTGAGCCCCCCTCACTCACCGCCAGCAAAGCCCGCTGGCTAGCCAGGGCCCCCTGGATACTGCTGTCCGAGCGCAGGTCCTGCTCCAGTTGCTCCCTCGACGGCACTGGGTACTGGCTCCTCAGCCGGTGCCCACTCACCTCCAGGCCCCCGATGACCTTCAGATCCAGATGGTGCACCAGCTGTGGCTCCTGGCCACAGAGCACCTCAGCAGGCAGACTCTGGAGCAGCTCATCGGTGGACTCGGGGGCCAGGGCCTCAGGGCCTCCTTTATCTGCCTCTCGAAGGGCTACACAGGAGAGAGAGACAGACAGTGAGGGCTCAACCAACCATCTCAGCGGGGATGATGGGGGGTGCACACTCCCCTCCCTGGCACCTGGGTGTAGTGGGCAGAAGCAGGGCCTCTGCCCCATCCGCTCTGTCCCCCACTCTGGGAGGCCCTGTGGCAGTGTTCCATCTGGCCAGGAAGCAGCAGATGGGGATGGGCCCTGGTAGAGAGACCTGCGTGAGGAAGTCACCTACCACTTGGCTGGGGATTGCACAGCACCATCGCCAAGTCCTGACTTCTGAGAGTCTCTGTCTCTCCAGGACTCTGCTCAGGTTGGGTCACTGGCTTCTCTTTCCTGGTGCGGGTCTCCTGCAGGGACAGGAGAGGGACTGGGAGATCCCCGCTGGCTGCAGAAAGGTGCTTGGCACAGTCCCCTTCACCTTCTGCAACCATGCACTCCCCACAACGGGGTCCTTCAACCTCCGGGCCAGGCCCACATTATAACATTGACAACACTTGGTTCCCCACCCTGCAGCAGGAGCACCCAGCCCAGCCTCCCAGCAAGAGCCGCCAGCCCTTACCACTGCTCCGTAGCAAGAGCACCAGTTCCCCCCCCCCGCCCCTAAGCCAGCCCATCCACATCGCTGAAGCACTACTTGACCCAGAGATCTTGCTGGGAGCTGGCGCCTGCCATTACCCACCAGCACTGTGGTGAAGGCACCTGAGCCCCAGGCATGTGCTTGACCTTCAGCAATGGCAGTGCAGCAGGAAGAGCCTGGCACAGGGGATGGACAGCCATTCGGCCCTCCAATGTGCTCTTTGGATGCAGGCAGACTCCCTACTCCCATTGGTGTCAGAACAGCTGGGGAGGGACGACTGCTAAGCTGGGAGTCAGAGGTACCAACCTGCAGTACAGATTCCACCACGGCCTCCAGGGCCCCCAGCAGGCTGGTTTCCAGCACCTGACTGGAGGGAAAGGGGACCAGTTGGCTGTCAGCATCAAACACCAGGTGCACTCGGAGGACAGCCTTCCGCATGGTACCATTGGCCTGCAGAGGAGAGAGTCAGAACAGGGTCAGTCCTAACCACACACTGCGGGCTCCATATGCCCTGGGTCCCCTGGGCTCTGGGTGGGTGAGGTGATAGCCCTGGGGGGGAGGGGTCCTAGCCTCATGCTCTAGGCTGTAACATCCATTTCCAGGGTAAATGAACAAAGAAGAGGCTTTTTCAAACACAAGTTACTGTGTAGCTGGCTCTGGTGTGACTGAGGCTGATGATGCTGGGAACACCAGGACTGGACACAATTCAAGAAGGACATTGATAAAGTGGAGAGGGGTCAAAGAAGAGCAGCAGGAATGCTGAAGGGTTGGAAAACCTGCCTCCTAGTGAGAGACTCCAGGAATTCAATCTGCGTAGCTTCCCAAAGAGAAGGCTCAGGGATGACTGACCACAGTCTAAGTACCGACATGGGGAACACATGTTTAACGATGAGCTCTGCAGTCTAGCAGAAAAAGGTCTGACACGATCCAATGGCTGAAGTAGAAGCTAGACAAATTCAGACTGTAAATAAGGTGCAAATATTTGAACAGCGACTTACCATGGATCGTGATGGGTTCTCCATCAGTAGCAGTTTTTATTTCAAGATGGGATGTTTGTCTAACAGCTCTGCTTTAGGGATTATCTGGAGGCAGTTCTCTGGCTTCTGTTCTACAGGTCAGGCTAGATGATCACAGTGGTCCCTTCTGGTTTGAGACCTCTATGAATCTGTGACCATAGACTCATGGACACTACAAATTCTATGGCGTGCTAAAAGACAGCAACACTCCACTCACAGGACAAAGAGCTTAGGAACGGGTGACTCATGATCAGTGTATGCTAGCCTGGACCATCAACAGGCTGGCCCCCAGTGACCCCTTCCTCCCCAGCGCCCAGGCAGACCTCCTGGTTTTCTGACACCCTCCACCAGAGGACAAAAGAAGGGCAGAAATTTGAGAGCCAACAGCAAAATCGAAGGCTGATAAAGACAAAAAATGAAACATGAGGATTTCTTCCAAGCTCATGCTGAGGCTTAAATACAGGCCAAGAGAGCCTTCCTATGAGCCTCCATTGAAGCCGGGAAACCCTGCCCCAAGGAGCTATCCAGTGTGGTAAACTGCTTCAGCAACCCTGGGTGCCTACAACCTGCGTCAGAGCTGAGCACCCAGCACTGCAAAGAACTATCATCCTGCTGTGCTGAAAAGATCATGCAGATTCAGGAAGCCTTCTCAAAAAGCCTGGCTCCGTCCCACACCAGCCTGCAGCCCACCTGTATCCCTGGAGTGCAATACATCACTCCTCAAGACGGGCAGGACGCCCAAAACCAGATTCCTGATAAGCACCTGTTTTAAAGTGTGTAGATAAAGATGTTGCTGTCATGGAAACAGAGCAAGAAACGTGGCATTAGACAGAGGGAGGTGGAAAGATTGGGGGGGGCCTCATGTGTCACCAAGGCACAAGAGCATCTACTAAAATAATACGTGGAAGCAAAAAATTGCATCATTATGGAAGAAGTCAGTTTGGGATACATACGCTGGAGGTCTCGTGCAGCCAGCAGTAAAACGTCACTGGAGTTTCTAAACATTACAGCTGATAATTTTCTAACACAAAAGGTATTGCACGCAACATGAGGTCATTTTTTCTGGACCTTGTTATGATTGATAAAGATGACTTAATCACTGGATTGGAAGTTGGGAGTCATCTAGGATCACATGACTTGATTCAGTGTAGCCATAAGGTTATTTGATAGCATCCTCAAAAGCTTCTAGAAAGAATTGCGCCTTGCCAGGGTACATTTGCCAAGCAAGCATAGGGATTTATCCCTGGGGTTTTTGAAAATAACTGTGTACTTTGTGTTTACATAAGAACGGCCCTACTGGGTCAGACCAAGGGTCCATCTAGCCCAGTATCCTGTCTTCCGACAGTGGCCAGTGCCAGGTGCCCCAGAGGGAATGAACAGAACAGGGAATCATCAAGTGATCCATCCCGTCACCCATTCCCAGCTTCTGGCAAACAGAGGCTAGGGACATCATCCCTGCCCATCCTGGCTAATAGCCACTGATGGACTGATCCTCCATGAATGTATCTAGTTCTTTTTTGAACCCTGTTATGGTCTTGGTCTTGTTTAGCTTAATTTGTTATTCTTTTTTCCTTGACAAAATACATTCTGAACTATATACGTAATGCTCAAGTTCCTGTGATGCACATACTTGGCAAAGGCTTTCTCAGTTTCATCACCTTCACATGCAGAGTTCATCAAATCATCTACAACAACCATATTTACTTTATTGGTAGGAAACAGTCATTGTTAAAAAAAAAATCAGGCAACCCCTCCACAAAATTGATGAAAGGGTATTTACAAAATAGTCCTTTATACACCAGCAACTGTAACACCACACAGTATTCTCAGGCCTGGTCTACACTAGGCTTTTATGTCGAATTTAGCGCCGTTATATCGAATTAACCCTGCACCCGTCCACACCACGAAGCTATTTAGTTCGACATAGAGCTCTCTTTAAATCGATTTCTGTAAACCTCCCCAACGAGAGGAGTAGCGCTAAATTCGACATGGCCATGTCGAATTAGGCTAGGTGTGGATGGAAATCGACGGTAATAGCTCCGGGAGCTATCCCACAGTGCACCACTCTGTTGACGCTCTGGACAGCAGTCCGAGCTCGGATGCTCTGACCAGCCACACCCCGGGAAAATTTGAATTCCTTTTCCTGTCTGGGCAGTTTGAATCGCAGTTTCTGTTTTGACACCGTGGCGAGCTCAGCAGCAGTGGCAACGATGCAGAGCTCTCCAGCAGAGATGGCCGTGCAATCTCAGACTAGAAAGAGGGCCCCAGCATGGACTGATCGGGAAGTCTTGGATCTCATCGCTGTGTGGGGAGATGAGACCGTGCTTTCCGAGCTGCGCTCCAAAAGACGGAATGCAAAGACCTATGAGAAGATCTCTAAAGCCATGGCAGAGAGAGGATACAGCCGGGATGCAACGCAGTGCCGCGTGAAAATCAAGGAGCTGAGACAAGGCTACCAGAAGACCAAAGAGGCAAACGGACGCTCTGGATCCCAGCCCCACACATCCCGTTTCTACGAGGCACTGCATTCCATCCTAGGTGCGGCCGCCACCACCACCCCACCCCTGACCGTGGACTCTGAGGATGGGATATTGTCCGCGGCCGGTTCCTCAGCGGACGGGGAAGAGGAGGAAGGAGATGAGGAGGACGAGGCAGTCGACAGCGCTTACAACGCTGATTTGCCCGACAGCCAGGAGCTCTTCATCACCCTCACAGAGATCCCCTACCAACCCTCCCCAGCCGTTATCCCAGACACAGATTCAGGGGAAGGATCAAGCAGTAAGTGTTTTAAATATCTAAACATTTATTTATAACATAACTGGCATATTTCAAATATTAACAATAGGTAAAGTGCTTTAAAACATGTAAACATTTATTTACAACAAAACAGGAAGATTTAAAATATTAACAGTGGGTAAAGTGCTTCAAAACATGTAAACAGGAAAGTCCAACAAAACGGGAATCTGTGCAAAGTGTATCATGATTAGTCTGTCTTTGGGCGCTTCAATATATAGTCTATTTTCAAAAAATTTCACAATGTCCGCTTCATGATTATAATGCCCAAAACGCTGCACTCTTCTGTCCCTCCAAGGGCACCTAACCCAAAAACTGGTCAATGTATCCGGGGATAGAGGCGACATCCTCCGGGGAGAACTCCTCATAGGTCTCCTGCAGGTGTTTTTCAAGCCTCATGAGCAGGTTCCTGGGCAGGGAGAGCTTGTTAGGCCCCCCGTGGTATGAGACGTTTCCCTGCCACAACGCCAGCAGGTACTCGGGGATCATGGCCTTGCAGAGCATTGCAGCAAATGGCCCCGGTTTCTGCAGGCTGTCACGAAGCATCCGCTCCTTCTGGCTCGCAGAGACCTTCAGGAGGGTGATGTCTGGCATGACTCCCTGCTGTGAATTAGGTAGGGGAAAGTTAGTATTGGGACTGCTTGCCCGTCCCTTTACAGAACTGCAACCGCCAGTTTACAGCCACGCGGTTTACAGCCGCGAGGGGGTGGGACAGGGCCAGAGTTCATGCTTGCAGGATTGCTGCCAGCAGAGACTCGCATTGCTTTCTATGCGAAAGGAGGCCAGTGCCACTCTTAAAGTTTTAAGCAGCCACAAGTCTACGGCTTACCATGTTTGCCATCTAGACAAAGTCCGGTGTCCTGCCCTGCTCCTCAGCTCGCCACAGCAAGACCGCAGGCACGGTAGGCGAGGGCTGAAAATTCGACCTTGTCCTCAGTGCGCGTGTGATAGGTGCTCTGCATGGTCTTGTTCACAGAGAAAGACTATGTTCTCTGGTCACAGATACATTGATCTGTCTCAGGAATTCACTCCCTTTTTCCAATTCCCACAGCCACATCTGCCCAGAGGCTAGCGCACATTAGGAGGAGGAAGAAGAGGACACGGGAAGACATGTTTGCTGAACTAATGGCATGCTCCCGAGCACAGGCAGCCCAGCAGACACAGTGGAGGGAGAACTTGTCCCAAATGCACCGGGCAAACATGGAACGGGAGGAGAGATGGCGACAGGAGGACAGGCAGGCTACTCAAACGCTGCTTGGACTAATGAGGGAGCAAACGGACACGCTCCGCCGCCTTGTGGATGTTCTGCAGGACCGGAGGCAGGAGGAGAGAGCCCCGCTGCAGTCTCTCTCTAACTGCCCTGCCCCGCCACCAAGTCCCATACCCCCCTCACCCAAAGTCCAAACACGGAGGGGCGGAAGGGGCCGTGAAAAATTTCACTCCACCCCTGCGGACTGCTCTACCACTAGAAGGCTCTCATTCCCCAAAATTTGAAAAGTCCTTTCCTACCCGCCTCACACAAGACCCCGTCCAAGTTTCACCCCCCCCCGTTCCATGTGCGGTTGTTAATAAAAAATACGTTTTTGTTCATTATTGTTTCCATCCTCTTCTTTTAGATGAGAGTCTGTCTGAAGTGGGGGG